CAAACAAAAAACTAACTGAACAAAGCAAAAAAGAAAAAAAAAGTCACATAAGCCACACTTGCCACAAGTAAATGTCAAAATGTATTTGTAGAAACGTGTTTGTCCATTTTGCAAGTAGAAGTTTAAGTGAGAGAAACAAACTATTGGTGCAGAAGGGATGGCTCATCAACTGAAAGTACGGGGTCTCTTCCGAGGATGAGGGTTCCGTCCCCCACTGGTAACTCCAGTTCCAGGGGACCCAACACCCTCGTCTGCCTACCACAGGCACCAGGCATGCATGTGGTGCACAGACATAAATAAAGGCTTATTTTTGCTTATGTGTATGTATGTCTATATGAGTGTATATCACCTATGTGCAGGTGTCTGCAGAAGCCAGAAGGGGGGTTATAAACTGCTCAAGAAAAGTAAGTGCCCTTACTGAGCCATCTCTCCATCCCCTCATACTACTTTTTAGATTCCCCTCCCCACACACACTAAGGCTAATTCAGCTTTCCACAGAACTTGGCCTACATTACACAGCTATGAATATATCTTAAATATATACTATGGGCCTAGCTGCACTGAGTATTATTATAGGTCCTTCATTAAAGAACCTGGGGCTGGACACAGCTTAGAAAGTAGGAGAGATGAGATAAAGACATTCTAAGGCCTATAAGTCAGGGTATAGAAAACAGCAAAAAACGCCCACCTAACTAAAGGAGGGATCATATTCTGAAATGATTATACATGGTCTAGAATGCTAAACAAACTTCAAGCAGAAGCACTTAATTATCAATTATGCAAGATGAAGATAATCTGGGTAGACCAAAATGAAATCAAGAAAAAATAGAAAGCAGGACATAGTAACTCATATCTTTCCTCCCAGCTCTAAGGAAGCAGAGGCAGGTGGGTCTTTGAGTTACAGACCAGCCTGGTCTACACAGTGAGTTCCGGGACAGACAGAGCTACATAGGGAGACCCTGTGTCAAACAACAGAAACAAAAATAATAAATAAATAGAGGCAGGAAAACCGGCTACAAAATATTAGGGCCTCAAGCATAGACTAAGATCACAGAGGTTAAAATGGAAAGAAATGTAAACAGACCAACAGAAGACAAGAGCACAACAGGACTGGGAAATGAGAAAAAGTCAGAACGGATTCTACACTTTTGTCTGGTGTCCCCATCCGTCTCTCTTTTTTCAGACAGACTCTTGCTATGTAATTCTAACCGGCCCGAATTTGCTGTTGACCACACTGGTCTGGAATTCATAGATACACCTGCCCCTGCCTCCTGAGTGCTGAGCCTAAAGGCTTGCATTACCACACCTGTCTGAAAGAGGAAGGGTTCCAATAAGAAACAGGTGTTTTCTACCCTGCCCACCTTAACTAAGTTGTCCTTTTTTATCCTAAACCCAAGACTAGCAAAGTGCCTATCCCACAGTAGACTCACTCAATGAGTTTATGTGACCAATGACATCTTCTTTCCCTGTAGTTTTGTTACTGTCATGGTGGCACTTTGTTTTGTTGGTACTGGGGTGAATCTAGGGTCTGTACCCCTGAATCCCAGGCCTCCCCTAATAGTTTGTCATTTGTGCTCACCATCAATAGTCCTTTAGGGATCTCTAAATCAAAGAGGCTATTTTGGGGGGTGTTTTTGTTTTTTGTTTTTCAAAACAGTGTTTCTCTGTGTAACCTCCCTGGCTGTCCTGGAACTTTCTTACTAGACCAGGCTGGCCTCAAACTCACAGAGATCCACCTGCCTCTGCCTCCCAAGTGCTGGGACTAAAGGCATGCCCACCACCACCTGGCCTCAAAGAGGCTATTATAATCAGTATTCTTAGTAGTCTTCTTTACCATGGGCCACAAGAGCCTCCCCAGAACTGCCCCATACTTCAAAAACACCGGTGCTTCTGCTGCCAAAGTTAACCTAACACAGGACAACCTGGCAGCCTTGCATCCAACTCAAGGCAAAAAAGGACAGAGGAATACTTTGTACTAGGCCATACAAAACAAGGGAAGTAAGAGACAACCGGCAATATCACAGTACACCAAGACACTGGAATCGGGGTCTAGCTGCTCATTTTCGTAAATAATGCATGAGTTAGGTCACTGAACCCATAGAGTTTCCTTTCACCTTAAGCTCAAAGATTATAGACAAAGCCAGCTCAGAAGCAACACACACCAGTCCATACAGACAAAAATTTCCCAAATTAACTACCCTACCAGACCAAACTCTCACCCTCTTGTTTCCACCTCCCACTGGGACTATAGGTGGAAGCCACCATGCCCAGCTAACCTTTAAAGAATGTGTAGGTTTGCTTCTCAGAAGAGAAATACACAGAAAATCTTTCTGGAGCTGGGTGCTAGTTATGAGCATATTCATTTGGAAAAATATAGTGACAAATTCCATATATGTGCATCTTCTGTTACATTATAATTCAGTGAAAAGCTCTTCAAAATTTAACATTAATGAAAATACAAGAAAAACAATGGCACACCAGAATTCAAAGGAGAGACTTGTCAATGTGAGAAATACAAGTTTCAATAGTTAGCATGCATTACACAACTATTATATGCAAGGCACTGTGCAAAATGAGCGTTTTCTATTTCATACTCTCAGTGTCCTATCGAGGTCATCCATTTTATCAGCAGCATATCACATTTGACTACTCCCTCCTCCTTGAAACTCCTTTTCCATCGAGACCATCAGCTTTTCTTCCTCCCTCACCATCCACCCCTCAGTCTCTCCTCCCTGCCTGCTAAGCTAAAACACTCCAGAGCTTGGTTCCTTTACTCTTCTCTATGTTCCTCACAGCAGAAACTGTTGGTATCTCCATTTAACACAGGAAAACACAGAGGCTCAAATAGATTCAAACCTGGGCAATCAAGATGTCAAAAGTTGTGTTCTTGACTTCCTCACCTCTCCTTCCATCCTTCTGGCCACGTAAGAGGCAAAACAATCTATGTTCTTTTTTCTTTTGAGATGGGTCTCACTATGTAGTCCTGGCTGGCTTGGAACTCACTATGTAGACCAGGCCTGTCTCTGCCTTTGAGTGCTGGGATTGGTCTGACCTTGTACATTCTAGCCTTCAGTAACTGAGAAAAGGACATACCTACGACACATGGGATTTTCTTTCTTAAGGTATTAGAAAGATTATCAGGCACCAAGTCAATAGGAAGCCATTACTCCTGCAGATTCCAAAGTTTCTTCACTTTACACTTTGGTAATTGCTTCTTGATGAGGAATGTGAAACTATTCTAGAACAAAGACTGTCAGACCTAGATGTTTGGGAGACTTTTTGTTTGTTTTTGAGATAGCTCTTTAGGTAGCCCTGGCTATCCTGGAACTCCATATGTAAACCAGGCTAGCCTTGAACTCAAAGAGATCCACCTGTGTGCCTCTGCCTCCCAAGTGCTGAGATTAAAGGTATGCCTAGGAGAAAAAAATCTTTTTTATTTGGTATTGGGAGGAGGACACATGCTGTTGCATGCATATGGAATCAGAAAACAACTTTGATTGACTTGTTCTCTTTAAGAGAACTTTTAGTAATACAAATGGGGTAGAGGCAGTAGATTCTCAGCAAGTAGAGGGACTTGCCTCCGAGCCTTGATGACCTCAGTTCAATCTCCAGAACCAATGTGAAAAAATCCATTCAAAGATGGAAGGAAAGAAGTGACTCCACAAAGTTGTCCTCTGAGCCATAGTGTACACACAAACACACACACACACACAATAAAAAGGAAAAAAAAAAAAGATTATGCCAGTGAGATGGCTCAGTGGTTAAAGGTGCTTGTCACCTTGCCTAACAATCTGAGTTGGACTTCCCCAAACCCACATGGTATAAGGAGGGAACTAACCCCTGAAAGTTGTTCTCTGAATTACACCTGAAGTTGTGGCCCACATGAGGACACAGACACACACACACACACACACACACACACACACACACACACACACAAATGAATAATACAATACAAAAATTAAAATTACTGGAAAAGAGCCATGTTGTGGCGGCACATACCTTTAATCCTTGCACTAAGGAAGTAGGCAGGATCTCTATGAGTTCAAGGCCAGCCTGGTCTACAGAGAGAGAGTTCCAGGACAGCCAGGGCTGTTACACAGAGAAACCCTATTTGGGGGCGGGGGACTTATTCTGGGGCTGGATAAATGGTTCAGTGGTTTAGGGCAGTGGCTACTCTTCCAGAAGTCCTGAGTTCAATTCCCAGTACCCACATGGCAGCTCACAACTGTGTATGATGGGATCAGATAGCTTCTTCTGGTGTACATGGAGACAAAGCACCCATATATATAAAATACATAAATAAATCTTTAAAAGAATACTGGAAAAGGAAAATACAGATGTGGGTCCTGGTGTAGTGGTATGAGGCTGCATGTTTAGGAAACTGAGGCAGAGGAAATTTCAGTTCAAGACCAGCTGAGGCTACACAGCAAGACCTGTCTTAACAAAGAACATATACGGGACCTGTCCAGAGAGGTTCAACCTAGACTCCAGGAATCTGTTCCAAAGAACTCAAGCATTTTCTGCAGCTACTAACATGGCACCTGAATTCAAGAAGTCTTTATTAGAGAGATGCTCTGTCCTCCAAGATGACCACATCACAATGCCCCCACCCATTTGAATTACTGGCTCCAAAAAGTATGAAGAAGGACCAGGAAACCAGAGAAGTTGATTCCAGAGCACAAAAACACTTTCCAGTGGTCTCGGAATTTGTTACCAGGGAAGGGCTTGCATCCTGTCACCTGGAAGGGAGAAATCCAGAAAACAAGAACCAATTTCCCACTGGGATGCTCATGTTCTCAGGCTACTCACCAAATATTATGAGGGAAGACAAGAGCACAGGAGCTAAGGCCATTGTCCCAAGGCAGCAGACAAACACACTGGCATTTTGGAGTGACTATAACTGCATGTGCATTTTACCTACATACACAAGTCACATAGATCACAGATGCTGAAACAAAGGCAAAGAAGTGTACTTCGGCACACTATGGAAGTCGTACCTCTGTAAGTGCATGCAACTGTCCTTGATGTACACACACACCCATGAACCTGAAAAACAAAACAGATATTTTTTCAAACAAAATGAACAAGATAAGAATAAAATCCCAAAATTCCATATGGAAAAACTAGTTGAGTTACCCAGGCATAGGAAACAATGCAACACTTGTGAAGTACCTGTACTATTTCAGTCTTGAATACAATGCTAGACTGAGGCCAGCAAGATGGCTCGGCATATAAAGACACTTGCCACCAAGCCCGATGACCTAAATTCAACCCCTAGGATTCACATGATGTTAAGAGAGAACCAATTCCTGCTGGGTATCTGTGCTAGCTAGTTTTACGTGCACTTTACACAAGCTAGAGTTATATGAAAGGAGAGAACCTTAGTTGAGAAAATGTCCCTATAAGATCTGGCTGTAAGGCATTTTCTTAATTAGTGATTGATGGGGAAGGGCCAGCTCATTGTTGGCGGTGCCATCCATGGGCTGATGCTGGTCCTGGACTCTATAAGAAAGCAGGCTGAGCAATCCAGTAAGCAGCACCCCTCCATGGCCTCCGTATCGGTTCCTGCCTTGTTTGAGTCCCTGTTCTGGTTTCCATCAATGATGGACTACAATGCAAAGCATAAGCCAAGTAAACCCCTTCCTTTAAAGAATGCTTTTTGGTTATGGTGTTTCCTCACAGCAACAGAAACCCTAACTAAGATAGTACCCTCTGACCTCCACATACCATGGCATGTGTACACTGTCTGTCTCATAAATGTAATTTATGTAATTAAAAGTTTTAAAGATGCCTAACTGATATATTTCATTAAATGTCTGCTGGTAGCATACTAGAAGTAAAAGGCAATGATACAATGGTGCAGAGGGAGGCTAGCAAGCCTTTAAAACAGCAGGGGAGGGCTGCGGCTGTAGCTCAGTGGTATAACACTCACCTAGATTCCCATTCACGGAATTGCCAAAATAAAACAAAATAAGATAAACAAAATAATAAAATAGGAAACCTTCACTTAAGAGTGGCTTGGCAATTCTTTTTTTTTTTTTTTTTTTTAATTTTGGTTTTTCGAGACAGAGTTTCTGGAACTCAATTTGTAGACCAGTCTGGCCTCAAATTCACATAGGTCTGCCTGCTTCTGCCTCCCAAGTGCTGGGATTAAATGCATGTGCCACCACAATTGGTTGTCTTGGCAATTTTTAAAGGCCAAGATTTAGCTCAATGGTAGAACAACTGCCAAGCAAAGACAAGGTCTTGGGTTCAATCCCCAGAATCAATCAATCAATCAATCAATCAATCAATAAAAAGTTTCCAAAGTAAATAAAAGAAAGCTAATATGAGGGAAATTAAAAGGAATATTGGAGGGAGTTGAGACAGGGTCTCATTATAAATCTCAGGTTTGCCTTGGAACTCAACCAGTCACAAAGGCATCCTACCTCAGTTTCCCTAGTGAATTACAGGAGTAGTCACTGGCTCTGACATTCATTTCTAAACTGATTACAATCTGCATTTGGCAGGTTTCTTCATGGTAGAAGATTCAGAGTTTTATAGATATCTGTCTTTCCAGTACCTAGCAGAGTGTCTCTCATACAGTAATCCAAGATTTTTATTTTTTTTATGTGCATTGGTGGTTTTGACTGTGTGTGCTTGTGTAAGAGTGCTAGGCCCCCTGGAACTAGAGTTACAGACAGTTGTGAGCCACCATGCGGATTCTGGGAAATGAACCCAGGTCCTCTGGAAGATCAGTCAGTGCTCTTAATTGCTGAGCTATCTCTCTAGCCCCTGTAATCCAAGATATAGTGATATATTTTCTATGATCTAGGAATTTATTTAGGGTTGAAGTGCCCTCCTTGAGTTGGATATTTGTACTTGTGGTGGTTTGAATAAGAATAGCCTCCAAAGGCTTGCATATTTAAATGTTTAGTCATCAGGGAGTGGTACTATTTGAGAAGGATTAAGAGGTCTGGCATTAGCCGGGGCGGCGGTGGTGGCGCACGCCTTTAATCCCAGCACTCAGGAGGCAGAGCCAGGCGGATCTCTGTGAGTTTGAGGCCAGCCTGGTCTCCAAAGTGAGTTCCAGGAAAGGGGCAAAGCTACACAGAGAAACCCTGTCTCCAAAAACAAAAACAAAAAAAAAAAGAGGTCTGGCATTGTTGGAGGAACTGTGTCATTGGGAGTGGGCTTTGAGGTTTCAAAAACCCATGCCAGGCCCAGTCTCTCCTCTCTCCCTCTCCCCCCACCTCTAAGTGCAGACAGGATGTAGCTCTCAGCTACTCCTCCAGCACCATGCTCCCCAACATGATGATAGTGGTCTAAGCCTCTGAAACTATAAGCAAGCCCCCAGTTAAATGCTTTCTCTTATAAAAGTTGCCTTGGTCATGGTGTCTTTTCACAGTAATAGAACAGTGACTGTGGTAGTTTGGATGTAATTGGCCCCCATAATCTCAAAGGGAATAGCACTATTAGGAGGTATGGCCTTGTGGAGTAGGTATGATGATGTTTTTTTGTTTTGTTTTGTTTTTGTTTGTTTGTTCTTCTGTTGGATGCTTTATTAATTCACCACCCCTCCCCTTTAGGGCAAGATCATGTATCCCATGCTGGCCTCAACAGGTATGTAGTTGAATGTGACCTTGAGTTCCTCTTTATCTTTTAAGATTCACTTCATCCATCCATCTATCCATCCATTCATCCATCGTGTGTGTGTGTGTGTGTGTGTGTGTGTGTGTGTGTGTGTGTGTGTCAGAGGGAGAGAAACAGAGAGAGAATGTGAGTGCGTGCATGCCACAATGCGTGTGAGAAAGACATAGGACTACTTTCTGGGGAGCCAGTTCTCTCCTCCCACCTTTTTTTTTTGTTTTGTTTTGTTTTGTTGGAGGAAGTATGTCACTGTGGAGTTGGGCTTTGAGGTTTCATATATGCTCAAGCCACACCCAGTGCCTCAGACCACTTCCTGTTGCCTGTAAGAAATAGGACTCTGTTATTTCTCTAGCACCATGTCTGCCTGCATACTGTTATGTCCCACCACGATGATAATGGACTGAACCTCTGAGCTGTAAGCGAGCCACTCCAATGAAATGTTTTCCTTTATAAGAGTTGCCATGGCCATAGTGTCTCTTCACAGCAACAGAAACCCTAACTAGGACAGTGACTGAGACAGTCCTGAAAATCACCCTTCCAAGATGAACTAAAATTTCATCTTCCCTAAAGGATCCCATGACTGACTTAGGTGATTAGCATAACAGCTCTTCCTTCTCCTTCCCACAGTACTGCCAGCACTTTCCCCTTCTTTGAATAACTGCTGGTTGGCATTAAGTGAAGTCATCTGAGTCCGGAGCCAGACTGCTACTGACTCCATCACATACTCAAGACCTCTGTTTTTAAATTTACTTATTTATTCATTCATTTATTTATCATCATCATCATCATTACTGTGTGTTTGTTTTATTCACGTAGGAATATTACTATTGCTTAATTCCTACAGCCACTTTGAAGAGGAAATGATCATGATACTCACTAAAAAGTATAGTTATTCTTTAACATCACTGATCCCCCACTTGGAATATACATAAGCTTTTGAGAGGACAGAGCTTGGACTGGTGAGATAGCTCATCAGGTAAAAGCGCTTGCCACTAAGCTTAACAACAAGTTCTATCTCCAAGATCAATATGGTGAAAGGAAAGAAGAGACTCCTGCAAGTTGTCCTCTGACCTCCACATGAGTACCATGGCACTTACCCTCACCTCCTCCCACACACACAAAGTAAATGAATAAATGTTTTATAAGATTTAAAAGAAAGCAAGCAAGCAAGAAAGCAAGTGCAGATCTTGAGTAAGATGTCTCAACAGGTACAACACATGCTTTGAAAGCCTGATGACCTGAGTTCTATCCTTGGAACCCATGTGAAGAGGGAAGAAGAGAACCTAGTTGCCCTCTGGCTTCCATATGTACACCCCATCATAGATACATACACAATACTAATACTCATAATAACTATATCTTTAAGAGAGTACAGATCCTACTTCATTTGCTTCCATGTATAGTGATGAACACATAATGTGTTCTATATAAGCATTTACTGAGTGAAAAGTAATAATCACCAAATTAGTAAATGTTTTATAAGAAAGAACTTTTTGTTTGTTTTCAAGATGGGGTCTCTCTGTGTAGTTCTGGCTGTCCTGAAACTCACTCTGTAAACCATGCCGGTCTCAAACTCAGAGACCCACCTGTCTCTGCCTCCTGAGTGCTGGGATTAAAAGTGTGTGCAAGCTCAGCAAGAAAGAACATTTTACCAGTACTATATAATGAGACCTTGTCTCAAAAAGGCACAAAGAAATAGACAGGATATTTTGAGACAGGTACAAGGCTGGGAAGCCAAGATACATTTGACTTATTTAAATAATATTTATAAAGAAGTCAGGTACTAAAACTTTACTATTCACAGAGGTACACAGCACATCCAGACAGGCACAGACGTCATGATAGTTTCCTGTCTCTTTCTTTTCCAGCCCTTTGGCATCACTATATCACAGTTGTGCCACACCGCTTTGCTTTTCTACCTGACCTTTCCTGCCTCATTCCTTACACAGATGACTACCACTGCCACATTCAAAATGGCGTCGTAGGGCTGGGATCACAGTTTGGTTGGTAGAATACTTGCCTAACATACACATAAACTGTGTTTGAGATACAGATATGCCTATAATGCCAGCATCCAAGAGGTAAAGGCAAGAGGATCTGGGTTCAAGGTCATCCTTTCGTACACAGCAACTTAAAGGCCAGCCTGTGCTATGAGACCCTGTCTCAAACCAAACAACAAAACAGTCAAAACAAGTTCATTTCCACATTAAAGCTTGAGAGGCAAACGAGGTACGGCAGCGCGCACCTGCAGTTCCGGCACTCGGCTGAGGCCGTAGGGCTTAAGTCTGAGGTCAGTGTGAGCTACTCGGTGAGACCAGTCTCAAAAAGGAGGCACTAACTCAGTGAGACCAGTCTCAAAAAGGAGGAGGCACTAACTGGGTGAGACCAGTCTCAAAAAGGAGGAAGCACTAACTCGT